CCGTGGTGAAAAATGCTCAGTGACTTCACATGATTCTGAGGATCCTTAAGGTGCCCTAGAAAGCCCTAAGTGGTTGAGCTCCAATAGACCACCCCCCACACCCCCTCCGCCTTCTTTGCCCTACCCCAGTCGACGTGCATACTCTCTGTGTTCTGGCTTCTTTCATGCCTGGGGAAGCTCCCTGCTCTTTTCTACCATAGAGCTTTTGTTCCTTCTGTTCCTGGAACCCCCTCTGTAACCCATCCTTCTCTCCTTTTACCTAATGGACTCAAATTCTTCCTTCATATTTAAACTCTAGAAGGTGTTCCTGTCCTCCTCCTCCTCCCCCCGCAGTACCCTAAGTAAGTCCCCATTGTTTGCTCCCCTGGTGCTTCTGATCTTAAAACCATTTGGTTAATGTCTGTTTCCCCCATAGACTATAAACTCCATTAGACGATAGGCCATGCCTACCGTAGCTCACCATTGAGTCCCCATTGCCCAGCCCAGTGCTTGGGACATCGAATGTTCACTAATTGAATGAAATGGAAGGGGTGAATGGACAGCTGCTCCCTCCTTCCCAATGCTGTCATCCTCACCCATATCTGTTACCCTGCTTAAATGACAGCTTCAATTAAAGAAGACCTTTAAGAGACCCCAATTCCCGAGGTGTTGATACAGTAAGGTTATGGGTAGAGTTTCTCTTGTTTGAGTGAGGGCTGAGCTGTATCTTCAGGTGAACTTGTGCTAACTGTTTCTTTGAAATGTTATAGGTCATCTAATATTGGTTCTTTTAAGTATTTTAATAACTGACTCATTAGCCATGTCTAATGTCTCGAAGACCATTGTTTCATATGTTTTGTGCAGTTTTTAGTTGTTTCAGGCAGGAGAATATATTTGGTCCCTGATACTCCATTTTGGCCAGAAGCCAGGAATTGTTTTATGGAGTTTCTGATTCAGTTGTTCTGGGGAGAGACCCAAGAATTTGCATTTTTAATATGTTCATAGGTGATGCTGATGCTGCTGGTCCTGGTATCACACTCTGACTATCAGTGCTTCTGGATATGAGACCGCAAACTTTTTCTGTACATAGCAACTATTTCAGGCTTTGTAAATCATATGCTCTCTGTCACAGCTACTCAACTCTGCCGCTGTAGG